ATAAATCCGAGGTCTGTAAAAGAGGAACAAATGATGAAGATGACATCGAGAGCGGAAAGAAATGTAAACTTACCAAAAGACTCTAAATTTACCAAATTTAAAACCAGGAGACTCTAAACTTACCAAATATTTAATAAAAAATAAAGAAAATAAAAAGCAAAGCAATCTAACAACAATATCAGGAACAGAACGTTGAAAGAATAAATCCGAGGTCCGCGAGAGATGGAGGATGCAAAGGATGAAGATGACAGCGAGAGCGGAAAGAGACGGGCTTTACGAATTTACGAGATGGGGCTATCCTACGCGGTCGCATGCTCTGTTCTCATCAGCGGCAGCAGCAGCAACAACAACAACAATCCTAGGGATGCCGGAGCTCCCTCGTCACGCGCGGACAAACAGCTTCGCTATTTTCGCGGCGACTCTTTCGCGCGGCGTGCGTGTGCCAGCTACCGGAACGCACCAGATAACGTTGACCTGAAAAACTATGCAGCTACCCATAGATCGTCATTATCTCGAGGAACAGCCGGCGAGCTGGGAAAGGGACCCAACAGGGAGAACAGGATGCATTTGTCCCGTTCTTTCCGCGTGCATGCATCTTTCGCGTTTCGCGTGAACAAACGGTGGACAATTCCTCCAAGAAATTCGGACGAAAATTCGAGTGAAAGGAGGAAACAAATTTCTCGAATTTGACATCGACGTCGTGTTTTTCACATTTTTCATAATGAATCTCGTCCGTGATGATGTAGTCCTCCTAATTGACAGAGATATCGCCGAGTATCGATGGCGAAATATTTTTAAATTGAAAGATACCATACGCGGCGACGGATTATTTGACAGCGAAACGTCGATACCGCGGTACGAATTTCAAGTAATTGAATTATACTATGATATAAAATCAATAATTTCGACGTAGTTTCAAATATAATATCCGTCAGACGGTTTAAAATGTCTTTTTCGAGGATATAATTTCAATGATTTCAGTTGTTGAAGTGAATATATTCAGTACACATTGTATACGTTAATTATATTATGGATAATGTTAAATATTGTGCTTTCTCAAGAAGACAATTTCAATAATAAAGTAATACTATAGTATAATGTAATATAATATAAGAATATACTATTATATATATTATATATACTATGTATACTATAATGTAATATAAAAATATAACTTCAACAATAAGTTGTTGAAGTAATAATATAATACAAGAATATGGAGCATAGAATATATAACATAATACAAGAATATAATTTCAATAATAAAGTTAATGGAAATAATACTATAGTGTAATACAAGTATAATTAATACATTAATTATATTATGTTTTTTCAAGAAGATAATTTCAATAATAAAGTAATACTATGGTATAATGTAACATAATATAATATAAGAATATACTATTATATATATTATATATACTATGTATACTATAATGTAATATAAGAATATAACTTCAACAATAAGTTGTTGAAGTAATACTATAATATAATATAATATAATACAAAAATATGAAGCATAGAATATATAATATAATACAAGAATATAATTTCAATAATAAAGTTATGGAAATAATACTATAGTATAATACAAGTATAATATACATACTATGTATACTATAGTATAATACAAGTATAATATACATACTATAATGTAATATAAGAATATAACTTCAACAATAAGTTGTTGAAGTAATACTATAATATAATGTAATATAATACAAGAATATGGAGTACAGAATATATAATATACTATAATACAAGAATATAATTTCAATAAAATTATCGAATAATACTAATAAATAATATTATAGTATAATATAATACAAGAATATACTATATATACTATGTATAATATACTATAATGCAACATAATATAATTTCAATAATAAAGTTGTGAAAGTAATACTACAAACGTTAAACATTATAGAATGAATAGAATTGATAATATTATGGAACGGAAGCAAGTAGAATTGTAGAAACATTATAACACTGTAAACACTGCGAATTCTCATTGAAATCCATATTTTTCCAGAATGTAATCAGAAAATTTTTTTACACGCGAAACTCTATTACTAAGCGATAATTAATTACATAAGCGTTACGCACTGGACAGTGTAATTAAAATGACAGTACCACGGTAGAATATTTTCAGCGTTAAATATTACAGAAAGCACTAAATTTCCCAAATTTCTGCAGTATCGAGCTGGAAATTTAAAATCCCCCCGCCATAAAAACCCGGCCAGCCTGGCCATAACTTCGAAACCGTGACAGATATTATATTTAAAGCCAGCAGCCGTACATCAACGCAGCCACCGAACGAGGAGAACAAAATCGAATACAAAAATTTGGAACATTGTCTTCCATTAAATCTCTCGACAGAATCTATACATATTCATATACACACATACGTGATTGAGTTACTCCCCTCCACTCTCCTTTCGTTTGGATTATCCTTCCAGTAACACGACGTGTATTTTCCATGCAAATCGACACGGGGGAGTCCCGGCGTGTCTCATATTCTCTAATGGATCAAAAATTACTGCTACACGAGAAATGTCGAA